CACCAGGCGTTTTTCTTCACGTTTACAATTGTCCTCTTACCGTGCACGGCACTTTCCCCCACCAGCGAACACAGAACGCGCGACTACACTACTACCCCCCCCCCCGTCGGTCCCCTCACGTTTTTCCGCCGAACCTTCTCAACCGGTCCGCGAAATATTGTCTGACATGAAAAATGGTCCGTGAGGTAAAAAAGGTTGGGGACCAGTGCTCTAGCTGTCCAGTCATTGTTTGGTCATTTAAGAAGCCCCATTGATGTCCAGAAGACCCTGCAATACATTGGTTCATCAGTGACACCTGCGCACCATACTTTCAATAGATACAAATTTTATAAAATAAAAATGTATTTCTATTAAAAGTGCAGGATCTGAAAGGATCTGGAGACGCCAATGACAATTACGGTGACAGTGCTAACACAGTGGTCCCCAACCTTTTCATGTCAGCCAATATTTCGCAAATATTTAGGTCCGACGGGGGGGGGTGTTCGCTGGTCGGCGAAGCTGCCGTGCACGGTAAAAGGACAAGGCCTGGTGACGCGTGGGGAATGTCAGAGGGACGACCGCACATAATTAGAGAAAATCCGGTCAATTTTCAAAATAAAACTTTTTTCAGAAAAAATAAATATATAAGCTTTCTGTGGTGCGGCCCGGTACCAAACTGACCCAACGGACCGGTACCGGTCTGCGGCCCGGTGGTTGGGACCACTGTGCTAACAGATTAGAATTGGAGGGTGGATGCTACGATTCCGCAATGATGCAGTGGTCAGGACAGGGTTAATGGCTGAAGCCACAATATTTCAGTTACATTTATTTGTATATGTAATCACCAATTTGCCTGACACATAGATGGTCAAAGCTCTGTTGAGCTGTGTGTTCCAATAAACCTCAGTAGAACTTTCTCAATGATATGTTGAGTTGATAAGATTCTAACTAATGGAGACACTATTAATAATATGCTGCCCTCCACCGGTACTGATCTATCCTTAAATGTAGTACCCCCTAGAGGCCCCTCTAAACTTCTTATGTGGAACCAGCTTTCACTTTAGGTCTGGGGGGCAGACAAACTCAGCTCAGTAGTTTTAAGACTTATTCATAACGCTTACAGTTAGGGCTGGCACAGGTTTATTGTTGGTGGCTCAGGTCATCCTGTGCCTCTAGATATGCTGCTTTAAGCCTAGTTTATGCTTCTGCGTTTTCAGAGCGACGCAGACGCAAGACCCCCTTGCGTGTCCCTTGTGTGCCTTTTCAGGTCGAGTCGAGAGGTGCACAAAGTTGTGGAGGAAAATACGGGACAAATGTGTCCGTGATGAAAAGCAGCAGTGGCGATGCACGGGGCAATAAAGTCTATGATAAATAAATAAACCAACCAACTTCCACACACAAAGACGTGACTCTATAGGTCGTCTTCAACAGAAACACGTTACTCCACCTATTGTTCTGGCGGTGAATTGCTCTGCAACACACGCAAGACTTTTAGAACCATGAATTGAAACGAGTGCGTCGACGCAGAAGCATGCGCCAGCCTTTAGTCCTAAACTCCTCTTTTCTTTGTATGACATCATGTCCCATTAGTGCACATTACTGACTGCTTCTTTCCTGGAGTCTTTGGGTTCTTTCTCTTTACAGCTTTCCATGGATAAGTTATATCTGAAGCATGGGTGTTCCAATAGTGGTCCTGCCTGACGTCCACTGCTTTTGTTATCATTAGTAGCAGTAATTTTTCCATTATTATTCTGCCTACTATGCTCAACAAATGGCGGCACGGTGGTGTGGTGGTTAGCACTGTTGCCTTAAAGCAAAATGGTCTTGGGTTATACTTCACCCAGTGGCCTTTCTGTGTTGAGTCTGCATGTTCTCCCCGTGTCTGCTGTTGTGGAAGATTTTCTTATGCAATCGGGAATCAGTTATAAAGTCTCTTGTGAATCAAAGTTGTAATTATCCGTTTATTTCTTGCAAGGAAGAAGAAGTCAATAACATAGCCCTGATTTTGTTACGCTAAAAGGTATGGAGACAGGCAACCCAGAACTGAAGGAAGGCAGTTACAACATATGTCCGATTCGATTTAAGACTAGGGGCCGGAGAAATTCACACCTTTTCCTTCCTCCATGCAGCTGTGTTATGCGATATTGTGCGATACAAAATTAAATGAAATGAATCATGGCAAAAACTGACAGCGCTCCCCTGCGAGGCTACAAGCCCGACAAAGTATCGCACACAAGTTAACGTTAAATGCGTGCCTGTAAAATGTAACGGCTCATTTTAAGTGCCTCATCATTCTGATCAATCAGATTATATTTTTTGAAATGTGTGCTTGCAGGAGGCTTCATGGATGATCATCATCCAATGAGAATAATGATCTCCTGAAGAGTATCTCATTTATACGACGTCATAGTTATTGGAATATATGTACTGTATGCACTTATGTATCATATATGTATATACATGTATGTTTAGATGAGCATAGAACTAAGTTGTAAAATGGGCAATTTGCCCCCCGCGGTGAGGTCAAGTTGGGGTTCTCTCGTCTCCATAGCCGTTTCTCAATATGCGTTCTTGTGTGGACTTTTGTTCTCGTGGACTCGTGAAACGTCATCAGTCACAGCCCGAGTACTGTTCCAATTCTCAAGTCCGCATCTGGCCGAGAACGGTCATAATACCCGGATGTGACTCGCCCCGCCCATTTTACCGGGCATGCATCGAAGCAGGCTCGTCTGTTCTTGTGAGAGACATATATCCCAGAATGCATTTCACCTCAGCAAGCTGCGATGGCAGATGAGATACTTGCGTGCGTAAACAAAGACCGCCTACTGTGGTGACGTCATCAAGTCAGCTGCTGTTCCAATTGCGGAAATGTCCGTTCTCCGTTCTCCCGTACCCGTGAGTCAGGACTCCCGAGTCTGTCTCCCGAGTCTATTCTCGCGGGAACGCGAGTCCGTTCTCGCCGTCTTAGGTATTGAGAAACGGCCCTTGTCTTGTCATTTCCTGTTTTATTTGAAAGATTAACCCCTCTTTCAGGTCACCTGCCCCTCATGTGTCACCAGTCGAATCGTCTGCCCTGATCCCTGATTGTGTCCACCTGTTTCCCATTACCCTCATGTGTCTGCGTCTCCCTTTTTCTGGTGCCGGAGTGTACCGACCATTCTCCTACCCGAGCCTGCCACCACAGACGCGATGTGTCTCGTCCTGTCTGGTTTTGCCTCGCCTCGTTCCCTTTCAAGGAAATTCTAGTATCAGTTTTCTCAATTATATCCTCGAGCCTGTTTATAGTTTTTGGTTTTCCTCCTAATGGAGCGATTTTGAGTTTTTGATCATGTTTGAATAAAGACTGCCTATTCTGTTCATCCTTCTGCTCCGGAGTCCTCGCTTAAATCAATCAATTTTGGTATGGGCGGATCAGTATGTATGTTTTATTCATAATCTGAAATACAATCAGCGCAATTGACTCAGTGAAAAGAAATTGTCTGATCCTCTATTCTTATCATGAGTCCACCTTACTCACTTTCTACAATAATGATATGCTACGGTGTACAAATTACATCTTTATATAATTCTGAGTGCTTTTACCCCACATGCAGTTGCAATCCAGGAGTAAAGAGAACATGGGAGCAAGTCAAAACACAAAAATATTATCCAGAATGGTGAGTCTATACAGTATGTGCTATGGTAATGTATTGAACAGCTTGTCAGTGTCATATCCTTCATATCTTAGCAAACAGAAAGAGGGCTGAAATGGTCAAGACGGGGGGGGACCTAAGGCCCCAGACTATACACCCACCGAGGAGCTGGCACTCCAGCAAAATAAGGATAGACCAATCATGGAGGGCATAGCTGGGGGAAGGTCCCCTTGCGAGGCTGGCAGCACTGCGAGGAGGCCTTATCTCAAGGGAAGGTGCACCTCATTCTATGAATGGCTTTCATAATTAGTAATTTAACAAACGTCACATTTTGCAGTGGCTAGAACTTCAGTTGTGTTGCTACAGCCTCCACCGATAGTGTTGGTCGGAGAAGAGGAGCCCACTGATGTAAATTTGTATTACAGCATCATCGTGGAATGATTCACCGTGTGTGTCTTTAAGAACCAAAAACATTTTTCCTATTTCACTAACAGGAGGCCGGTCCAGACGACAAGGAGACAGTGTCAGCGAAGCAGTGTCACCTAGAAAAATGGCTCGACCCACGCAAGGAGGTGTGAAAAGCGACGCAAGGGACACGCAAGGGGGGCTTGCGTCGCTCTGAAAACGCAGAAGCATAAACTAGGCTTAAGAGATACCTGGGCATAAAGCCAGTGCCATCTTGGCATTAGGATGATGTTAAGTTTAATGAAACACAACAAATAGAACACGCGTTTCCCTGATTTCTTAGAGTATATTATGCTCATGCTGAAACTATGTTTGGGATTGATTTTCATATCAATTCCGGTTGTTGGTGTGCCGTGAGATTTTTTTTGTGTCTTAAATGTGCCTTTACGCAAAAAAGGTTGAAAAACACTGCTCAAGTGATGCGGTAAAAGCAAGTTTTTGAAACTATTACTCCAATCCAACCCTTCTGAGTGGTATTTGGACTATCAATGCATTCATTTAGGCAAATCCTGCTGGACCACAGCCTGATCCCAGGAGCCTGGCCCCTCTCACTCGGCTGAAACTGGGAATGTGAGTTCTCATTTGGTACCCTGACATTGTTAAGGGAGGTCTCAAATTAGTTACCATCTTACCACCACACTGAACAAAGTTATGAATGGTATTGTCTTCAATGCAGCATGACGACGAGGATTTGCGGGCGCTGTATAAGCAGTACCTGCGTACGGAAATGTACTACCGGCAGCTAAAAATGAAGAAGCTCCATAAAGAGATCGCATTACTTGATCGGCAGCTGGATGTAAGTAACTATGTAAAGCATCGCTTTGCCTAAACTATTTCAGCTTTGGCATGAATTGTAACTGAACCGAAATTTGTATTACTTGTGCCTTCATTCACAGGCGGCCCAATGAAACCCGAATAAAAGCTTCATTCTGCAACATGGATTACTGGTACCCTCTCCTTCCTAATCGTAGCCAGATTGTGGAGCACTGCACATTCCACGATGCCACATGCCCTGTCTGGTGCCACCCGCAGCCCCCGTAGACATGTGAATCTCGCCTTCTATTCGGGCCCTCGTTCGAGCAAGAGCCTCGTTAAAACGGGCTTGAGGGCCTGGTGCTGGCTCTGGATAGGGCGTCATGAGATAGGGCTTACAGGCATAACCCCTGTCACTAACTAGGAGTCCATCGTAGTGACATAGTATGATATGTACAATGTTGGATCACGTCTACATGGATTAAGTAATTAGTGAATGACATGAGATTTGCTAAACCTTGCTTGAAGCTGTGGCACAGTGTATATTCTGGAGTTGTGAACCGAGCCTGGCCACTGGGCCTCAACGTTGGTAATGAGGCAGGTGAAGTCACAGATCATCTCTGATGAATAGCGGTCAAGTCATGGGTATTGTACAGTTCATACAGCAGGCAATTGGAGGGTCCATAAACCCCATTGTCAAAGACATACAATTCTTTTGTAGCAATGTGATTTGAGGAAAATTATGACATAAATACCTGCACATTAATGCTGTGAAAGCCTTCACGATTGACTAAATCAGCCTTGTTTGGGCCAGAGGGCGATATGATGGGGCTATGCGTGCAGTCCACTGCACCAATGACATTGGGAAACTCTGCATAATGATAAGCACCGTAATGAATAGCGAATGGAATGCATTTTCATTAGATGGTGAAATATTGAATTAATCACTAACCTCCAATTCCGTAAAAGCCCTCTTTGATAACATTTAGTCGGACATGGCCAGGGAATGTAATAAACACATCCATAGATTTCTTTTGGGCCAAACAAACTTTACGAACTGAACGGCATGCAGTGGCTTTCCCAATGTTCTCCGCATCGCCGGCACTGTACAAAAATGTACCACTCGCAAAAAAACCTAAGGCTATGCATATAGTCGGTGGGACAGTGCCGCTGCGGCGTGTGGTTTTCGCAACGTAAGGCTCGAGAAGGTCCTGTAAATAAACTATCCCTTGTCGGCAGAAGCGATAGCGCTCGTACCGGAAGTCATCGCTATGTGATAAAGGATCTTGGCGATCTCGAAGTACTCCCTCCCTGTAAAACGCTAATCTAATTAATTTCGCTCCCTCATCAATGGGATCTGGTAAGAAGGGAGCTGCCATTTTTTCCGGGGGAGTGGCCAACTAATCCAGGGTTCCAGTTTTTCGATGTGTTGCTATGGTGATTTAGACAAACCTGCTTCGGGGAACCGAAAAGCCTGATCTACGTCATCTCATCCTGAAAATTATCCGGCTAACTCAGTTAAACACGTACGAGGAACGAGCCCAGGTGCGGAAAAACAGAATACTAGTAAGTACCAATAACAGTAGAATCGCAATCGCCAATCAGAGTATGGCGTTATATTTCTGCCACAATCCTGCACTGCATGAAAAGTGAGATTTTCGTCCCCGTAAACGCCCGGAAATCTCCCTAATTTCCGACAATTTGCAACCCGCGCACGTCGCGTTTGTCGGAAACGATCCATGACGTATGTGGAGAGCTGGCGGAGGTGCGAATGGCCCGAATTAGCATATGAATGCAGCGAAACCGCGGGTGGCCGAGCGGAGCGGGCTTGAATATCCTTACTCCTTATTGGATGAAACCACAACTTACTAACAAATAAAATCACTCGTGATTGGCAGCAAAACCACACCTGGGCAGGCCAGGCTTGAGTTTCCTTGTTCATGATTGGATGAAACCACAACTTTCAATCACTCTTGATTGGTTGGCAGATCTGTCGCTATTGGTCAACCGCCTCATTTTATTTATATATTCATATTATGCTGTATATTCATTTCATGTTTATCCTATGTAGGCTACTACACTATTATTAGGATACCAACCAGGACATCAATGAATTTATAGAGAAAATGAACATTTGACACACGTTTATGCAAAGAAAGAGCTTTATTAACAACACACAAACAACTACATACAAAGTGAGGATCTGCCCACACTTGGGTAACGGCGGTTTAAAAACTACAGCTCAGTAAACTGTCAGTTTGCCTCCTCGGGGTTGTAGACCGTCACTGGCGCCGTGTTTTCCGAGGCAGGTCTGTTGTGCAGGCGCCTCATGTGTGCGTGTTGCGACCGTACAATCCACCCCGAGACCCCGCCAACAACGCCGTCCTCTCCGTCCGACGTGAGCTCTACGGTGGCGGATTTCCAGAGTTCCACCTCATCATCAGCCAGCACACTTCGTCTCGATTCCAGCAACTGTAAAAACAATGAATCAGTACTGTGCGATGCGTACGGACACAACACATCTATCAATGCACCTGAAAGAAGTCAGCAAATAAACTCTGACCATCTTTCTTCTCGCTCGACTCCGCGCTGAATCCTTCGCAGCTCCTGCGTCCCGTCTCACAATACGTCTCACAGGCGGCTGGAAAACAATTAAATGAGTGTGGTAGGAATACAAAAAAAAAAATCAAACTCAAGTCACAGTAACATTTAACAAGGAAGGAGAAACAGTAAACAGTGTCACTTACACACAATGACGTCGTCTAAATCTGGACTTTTCCCGGAGCAAATACGAGGTCACCGTCTCATTATGAGACGAGATTAGTCTGTGAAAACAAAATGTACAGTTATGATCGGTATCCATACGTATATATTCCCTTATACCGCAGAATGAAAGCATATTCTTTAAATCTTAGCCTTGTTCCGGTTCGTAGCGCCTGTAATTCGTCTCGGAGTTGTGAAGACGGCGCGCCGCTTCCTGTAAACGACACGGCAAAGAAAATACACTTTAATAAAGCTGTTTCTGCTCACTTGTAAGGCTACTTGCCCGCAAATTGCCGCAAACCTGAAATTCCACGACAATTTACAGTGCCGCATACTGCCGAAAATCCCACTTTTCATGCAGTGCTGAGCGCGTAATTTTAAGTTTTGAGCACAGAGAACTATATTTTAGCAAAGAAAAACATATTCCGTCCGCGCAGTTTACTCAGGTGCCCTCTCCACAAACTGGTTTTCTGCGCGCAGGCAGCCGTTGCTGCGCTCTCTCCACCTCTTCACGCTGCGCTCGCTCGACGGTTCACTCACGCGCTCGCTCGACTTGCAGCAGAGTTACATTTGTGCCACAAAACCAACCAATCAGAGAATTAAAGAAGGTCAATTGTGATTGGCTGTTGGTCTCCAATCACAACGCTTCCTAAAGAAGACGAAAAAAAGTGATATTAGAAGTCCGGCTAGCCACCATCAGACATGACCGAAGCAAATGATGAGAACAGAAAGTGTTTTAATCCAGGCCATTAGCATTTAGCACAAATGCTGCAAACTTCCGCGATGCTGTAGGTAGTTCTACTAGCGCTGTGATTGAGTAAACTGCGCGGACGGAATGTTTTTCTTTGCTAAAATATAGTTCTCTGTGCTCAAAACTTAAAATTACGTGCTCAGGATTGTGGCACAAATAGAACGCCATATCAGAGCTGGCAGTCTCACTCACATAACGAGACTAACAATCCGGCAGGGATGACACATCAGGGCCACTTCTAAATACCTCCCCTGATTGGGAAGGCAGCGGCAGGTGGGAGATGTTAATGCTGAGCAGCTGGCCGCTGCTCTCACCTCAATGCTGACGTCCCGCCCCCTCGAGCGCTGGCTGAAACAGAGAAACACCAAAAACCCTCTCCAGACAAAACAAACTGCTCACGAAGGAGACCTGACACATCTTCAATTTGTTGACACAGAAAGAACCTTATCTATGTTTCCACCCCACCCTCTGCTGTAACAGTTAGAAATATTATCTGCCAGAATTTTATCTCGACAAATGATTACTGAATCTTGGACTAGCCCAGAGGAATGCACACTCATAATTGAATCATCCCCGCTGGAATATGTATTTTTTCACGAGCCTAGATTGACAGGCTGAGGAGGTGGCCTGGCAGTCATTCATAAAAATATTCTTAGTCACTCCTCGAAATTTGACTATTTGAGTTTTATTCTTAAGAACAAGCAGCCCATTCTATGCGTCCTAATCTACAGACCTCCAAATGTTAATTCTGTTTTTATTCAGGAATTATTCAACCTCTCATCCTGCATTATGGTTCAACGTTCTTATTCCTGATGATCCATGTTCGCTGCCCCCAAGTCCTTGCTTGCTTCAGAGTTCAACGTTAATTTCACCCTCATGGGGTCTGATCAGTCTCAATAATTGCAAATGCGCACAGAACGACTCACAAATGTAAAAAGAAGATTCACAAATGCGCACAGAGCAATTCAAATATATTCGACTTACAAATGCACACAGAAATAAATGAGTTATATTTATATTTGTAAATGTATTGGTTTGCGGATCACTTCACATTTGTGTGGGCTTCTGAGACTTGTCTGAAGTGAGTAGATCCACAAATGCGTTTTTTTCAACATGAACCTGTCTGCAGCCCATCAGATGTCGCCCTAATTTTCAACCAATCACAAGACCGCCCCCTCCCCTGCCTGCGATGCAACGGGTCCAAAGTCAGCAAACGATGGCATCTGGTGGCGACGACGCTCCGTGATACGTTAACGTTATATTAGAGAAGTAAATTCCGTGGATTATTTGCAACTTTAGTTTAATATTGTAGCTCCATAAGCTTAGTTAGCTAGCTAGTGTTGTCTACAGTTTATGCATGCTAATTTGTTTGTTCTGCGAAGTAACATTCAATTAATTTTATTTTGTATAGCCCAAAGTCGCAAATTATAAATTTGCCTCAGAGGGCTTTACAGTCTGTACACATGCAACATCCTCTGTCCCGAAACCCTCACATTGGCACAGGAAAAACTCCACAAAAAATGAAAAACCCTTCCATGGGGTAAAAAGGGAAGAAACCTTATGGAGAACGTTAGAGGAGGGATCCCTTTCCCGGGATGGACAGACTACAATGGATGTCATGTGTACAGAATGAACAATGTAAAAGAAGCTGAATTATTCATGTGCATTAATAACACATGGACTATTGTAGAGGAGAGCGGAGGAGAGGAGCTCGGTGTATCCTAAGATGTCCCCCGGCAGTCTAAGCCTATAGCAGCTTAACTAAGGGCTGGTCCAGGCTAACCTGAGCCAGCCCTAACTATAAGCGATATCAAAGAGGAAAGTTTTAAGCTTTACCTTAAAAGAGCTGACCCAATCTGCCCCCCGGACTGAAAGTGGAAGCTGGTTCTGTCACGGTTTGGGTTTACTTTCTTACTTTGTAGTTTCATGCCTCTTGTGTCCCTGGGTTAGATTCACTTCCTGCCTTGTCCTGTAACCCCCTGTGATTGTCTGCCGTGTCCATGATTGTTTCCACCTGTGTCCAATCACCTGCACCTTCTCAATGTATTTAAGCAATGTGTGTCTCTTGTCCCTTGTCGCGTCATGGAATGTTGAATGTATGCCTTCATAAATGTAAGTCTTAACGAGTATCTTGTATGTCTTCATGAGTGCATGTCAGACCCTGAACATCGTTCCGGGTAAATTGTAGCACTTCAATTGTACTTATAATGACGCTTAAATGACATGTAATGTTCCCGTGTCCTGTAAGTTCCTGGTCCCCGCCTTGTCTGAGTCTTTTTCCCCTCTGCATTTTTGAATTTTGACTATTAAAGTCTTTTTTTCTTTGGAACTCTGCGTCTAAGTCCTGCTTCCTGCCACGCCACCCCGCCGTCGTGTCAGGTTCCACAAAAGAGGAACTTGATAACTGAAGGCTCTGGCTCCCATCCTAATTTGTAAAACCCTAGGAACAAGTAACATACCATCTATGGTGCACAGCTGCCTTGTAGGGCAATACTGTGTTACAAGCTCTTTAAGATAAGACGGTGCCTTTTTTGGTTTGGGAAAATCTGACAAGTAAGATCAGAAAACGATTCATTGCAAGTCTGTCGAGCCACTGGTATTGCCTCTGGTGGCAACACTAGCAGCCACAACATGCTAACTCGCCAATCAGTTGCGAGTGAGTTGGCCGGCGAACAGCTGTTAGGGTACCCCTTTTTGGCGTCAATGAATTAATGTCTTTACTTGGCAAAACTATACGTCACATATCGGGAAACCGTCAATCTTTCTAAATACCGTGACATGAATTTTTGGTCATACCACCCAACACCTAGATTAGGTCCACTAAGAAACTGGTTCAGATTCTTAGAAATGAGTTCAGCTCCATCC